TAAGGAAGAATTTCTTTACTGTCCGAGCCCCCAAGGTCTGGAACAGCCTGCCACCGGAGGTGGTTCAAGCTCCTACATTGAACACCTTCAAGAGCAAACTGGATGCTTATCTTGCTGGGATCCTATGACCCCAGCTGACTTCCTGCCCTTTGGGCAGGGGGCTGGACTCGATGATCTTCCGAGGTCCCTTCCAGCCCTAATGTCCATGAAATCTATGAAATCTATGAAACATTTATGCTTGTTTTGAAGTCAGCATGTGCTCTCTGAAGGAGCACAGTCACCCTGAAATCTGTCAAAATATATAGTGCCTCATATAGGTCTATAATGAAAGGGAGGATCCTCCAGTGTTCCAGACCTCTCCGAGAAAAATCACAACCCTACTCATTACCACTGCCATTCCCCTTAAGCAAGATGCTGTACCTCCACAGGTAATCTCGAATGCAGCAGATATCTTAGCAACCATATATCCCCCTGCTACCAAGAGTACAAAGGCTTTCTGACAGCCCAGCAGTAACATAACTACGAAGGCAGCTAATCTTTCATATATCTTGAAATTGTACGGAATGAAATTATTTTTTTAATTGGGTAAGTGAACTGGAAAGCCAGAATATCCTATGCAATAACTCCAATCCTTTGGGCTCTCTGCCCGTTGGTGTGCTTCTGTGCTGCTTCATCTCACTGGGTGCTGTCATAACCAGGAAGGATTAGAGCTGGGCAGGTGTAAAAAATCCAGTTTTAAAATGCAATTGATAAGGTACACTGACCATCCTTGTGATGGAAACCAAAGTAATCAGCACTTAGCTGATTATTCTGGCTGAGTCCACGAAGGCCTCATTAACAGGAAGGGGTCCTCTTGCAGATTTCCAGAAGTTCATGGGTAGTCTCCTATACTTCCTCCATAGGATACTGGATAGCCAGTGCCACCCTCTTCATAACAGAGCTGACAACACTGGTGCTGAAGTGTGGAGCCAGTGAAACTGTTTCTGGATGACTCAGTGCAAGGAGAGTAAAACGTAGAGGAAGGGTATTCCCCCTGAAAAAGGGACTCTAAAGTTCAGGTGTGTCTTATACACTAAAGCTGTGCAATGAAAAATAACTGAAATAATTAAAATTCAGCCAGATTTGAGAGGAATTTTTTCCCCAGTTTTATCCTTATGGAAGGTGTGTGCGGAAGAGTGCATCTTACACACTGGAAAATATGGCGGTTGTGTATCCAAATGCAGAATTTATTTTGGTACCCTGTGTCATATAAAAACATTTCCCAGAATTGGATGTTTTCAGTCTGAAGTTATAGCTAATGTTAAGATACAAACACAAAACTGATAAAACTGACTGTATGAACTATGGTTTTGGGTATAAATATATATTTTACTGTAACTTAATATGAACAGTAAGTTGATTGTTGAAGCAAGTGTCTGGAATGTCCCACACCAGACAAAAGCTATTAATATATGATGCGAGGAGCCCCATCTCTAGAGCAATGGGGGCTAACCTTTTTGGAAGGTGTACCACACATTAGCTCAGCACCCTCCCAGAGTGCCACTCCAACTCCCTTCTCCTGCCTAATCTCCTGCTCTTTTCAGCTCCCTGCCCAATCTGCTGCTCTGCTTTTTCGCTCCTGACCTATCTGCCACTTTACTGCCTGTCCCCTCTCCAGTCACATGGAGAACCGAGGCTACAAGGCTGCCCGCATTATAGCACATGTGCTGCAGGTTGGCCACTCCTGCTCTACAGTATAAACCAGGAATTAGTATGCCTATCAATCAGCCAGGGAAGTGGCAAAAACTATCTGTGCGCACCTGAGCAGAGGTGACAGCACCAAACAACAACTGCGTACATTTCAAAGGGAGAAGCCATTCTTAGGACACAACCATCTAGAAGGAAACATATGCAGAAACTGCTATTTTTCACTCTTTGAATAAAGTATTGTATTTCACCAAATCCAATAAAAATTCAAATTTAAGACAACCTTGCAATAATTTGATTATTTACATTGAAAATTTATACAGGAGACCTTGGCCATTCACGGGGGATATGTTCTGGAGATCCCTACGAATGGCAAAATCTGCGAATACTGCACTGCGGTCATGAACATCATCTGCATTCATGAACAGTGCATGCCTCCAGCGGCTGGGGCACAGCTGTGCTGGCGGTGGCAAGAGCCCGACGGCAGCAAGTGCAGAGCTCCCACAGACACTGCCGGCACTGTAACAAAGCAAACATTTGCGGTGCACGGGGAATATTCGGCGCACTGCGAATATTTGAAACTGCGAATGCCAAACCCGCGAATAGTGAGGGTTTCCTGTATATTTGTTAAAATTGTCCGTATACAGAATCTAATTATTGGAGGGTCATCTTAAATTCATTCCTCCCCAACTGCTGCAGCTTGAAAAACAGCAGCAGGGAGAAGAGCAGCATGGGAGTCAAGTGTCCTGCCACCAGACCTTTGCTCTCTATTCCCACAACCACTGCAGTGTCTGTGCCCCCTGGCACCTGCCCCCACTACTGCTGCTTACCTTCTGTTCCAGCCTTAGTTCTGAACTGGGACCCAGAGCACATAGTGGCTCCAGCCCTCCCCTGGCCAGGCAGCAGTGATTGTGGCAATGGCAGCTCCACCCCCTGGACAATGTCGGAGCTGGGGCAATTCGTGGCAAGGCAAAAATAGAGTCTAGGGATCCCTGGCCTTAAGGAGCGTATCTAGGCCTCAGACAGAAAAACTGGGATAACATGAGCTGGCAGTTCTACTAGCTGAGAACACCATTTTAAATGAAAATGCGGGATGCAATTTCAGAAGTTGTTTCCAGATAGAAAAAAAAAAACCTCATCCTGTTTGTCTCTGCTTTTATTCACTTTCCAACTTAGATTATACAAAACAAGCATAACTATATCTTGTATAATAAATCTTATTGCTGTTTTATGTACCTTACTGACTATCTGGAATGAGGGGTGTTTCCAGGGCAATGGACAAGTACAGGCATATCGCTTCAGTGCAAGGGAGGATCTACAATATTTTGAAAACCAAAGGGTGAATATCCCATAAGCTGGCAAACTTCCTTGGCTGGAACTCCAAAGTCTGGTCGGTGGTAGGTAACACTGAATTTTGCTGAGGTAAGGAGTTACCCCAAGGGCAAAATTTATGATGGACTCTGAGAGCTTCCAACCACAGACCACTCCACTCCACCTGGCAAAGACCCCCGCGATAAGACTCGATGGACTGAGTAACTTCTTCAACCTACCTCCTCCACCACCGCGGACTATTGTATGGGTTTGTGTGCATCTATTTTCTCTCTCTTTCAGCACTACAATTCCCTTCCTAGCTTTCCCCACCGCTGGGCTTAGTTGGCTAACATTGTATTTTCTGTAACTTAGCTGCGTTCCCCTCCTCACCCCCATCCCTCTTATGTTAGTCCCTCGCTCAGGCACTCTGTGCTTCCCTTATGGCTTTGTCATTTTTTTGGTTTATGACTCTGAATTTTATTAGAAAATGTTAAATCTGTTCTCTGCAGACACAAAGAACAGTAGAAAGAGGCTTGGAGCCGAGGTGCCATACCAGCTACAGTTTGTGACAATGGTGCCTTCCTCTCAAATGTCTCTTGGAATTAATGTCAGGTTGTCCTGTCTAGTAGGGCTGTGCAAAGCTTTGGTCGCTGATTCGACTCGGTGGGGGTTCGGCCTGACTCGTCAGCCAAATCTCTGAATCCGAATTGAATTAGCAGACCCTTTAATCTCTCCAAATCGAATTGGAACCCTCCGAACCGATTCGGAGAGATTAGGAAAGATTTGACGATTCGGACATAGAACCAGCTTTAATTGTTTTTTCTACATACCTCAAGGTACCAGGCAGCTCATGAATGCTGAGATGCTGGGGCGGATGGAGCATCCCACAGGAGCACGGCGGGGGGCCCCCAGTGCACTTGGCAGCAGACCTGGAAGTGGACCAGAAGCACTTCTGGTCCACTTCCGGGTCTGCTGGGTAGTGCATTTAGCGGTGGACCCACAAGGGGACCAGAAGTACTTCCGGTCCACTTTCAGGTTTGCTGCCAAGCACGCGAAGAATGCTCCATCCACCCCACCATCACAGCATTCACGAGCTGTGCCTGGTACCTCGAGGTATGTAGAAGAAACATTTAAAGCTGTGTCTATGGCTGAATCACTGCTTCTCCAAATCAGCATTGAATCTTCAGATTCAGCCTAATCAAATTGGACCAGTGATCTGAATCAACAAATTGAATCATTTTCCCTGATTTGGGCCAAATCCAAATTGAATATGGCCTGTTTCCCACACCCCTACTGTCCAGTCCGGCTGCTAAAGATCTGGGCATACGTGTAACCCTCCATGTCCATCTCAGTCACGAACACTGAAGTATGAGGCTGGGCCCAAAAATTTACTGAGTGAATAAAAGCACAAAGCCTGGACTACTCCTGTTTCAAGAACTGAAGGATTTGCAAACTGCACATTTCCCTGGAATGTGAAAATTTCTCAGGCAGTACAGACAGTTGGCATATCTATCATTAGTAATATCTGAAGCCTGAAGATCTTGAAGGGTAATATTCTAGTTACAGAAAATTGAGATATAGTAATGTCCAAAACCAGGATATCCTTGTGGCAATGGCCAAAAAGATGCGAAGAGCATATTAGCTAGAATGTACAAAACACCTTTGGGGAAAAAAAGAAGAGTTGAACTCTGAAGGAATGAGAACAAACTGTAAAGTCAAAAATGAGGTCCGTGAGAGGAGTGAAAAAAAGCTCTCTCAAACCAAAGGTACAGGAGAAGAACAAAGGAATGGGATGTACATGCTGCCATTTATACTCTCACTGCACAGCATGAGCAGCAAGCCACAGACCCCAAGACAAAAAGTCTCTGAGCTCAAATAGATGGTGTATATATGCATCCTGCAGTAGGATGTACAGATGGTTATTCTCTCTCAAATATAAAAGCATAAGAAATTTAAGATTACTGAGTTCATATAATCCCTTCCATCCTAAGGCTAGTTAGGATTCTTGCTGCCACTACTTCTACTACAGCCCTGCAATATAACCGTCTCCTAGTTTCTAGCTAAGATTTATTCAGGTCAGTTTATTTTGATATTCACTTGTGCCAATGTTGTCCTTTAGCTTAAATAACTCCTCTCCTTCCTGGTGTTTACTGTCTATAAGCATATCAGGGAGTAAATCAGACCTCCTCTCAAGCTTTTCTTTTGATGAAATAAGCCAGCTCAGCTCCTCTATTTTCCCCATAACAGGCTCTCTATTTCCAAGAAGCCTTTTTCTGCACCTCTTCCACTCTGATTTCAGGTTTCTTCAAGATGTATGACCAGAACTGTATATAGTATTCCAAATGAGGTCTCAGCAGAGCCTTCTACAAGAGCAGTGAAACTCCCTTTACCTCTACAGGAAATACCTTGCTTGATATATCTTAGAAATAAGTGAATCTTTCACTCCTTGCTCTTAGCAACCTGCAATCATAAAAGCAGAGAGCAGAAGTTTCCTCAGAGCCCAGCAAGAAGCCTCATGTTCTCCCTCTACTTCCTGTACAAGAGAATATGAGACTGAATGATCTCCCTGCCCTGTGCTCACAATTCACCCTATGCATATTCACCTTGCGCTGGACAATCCGTGTGAAAAGTTGCAATACACGGCTGCGCACATGCCCAAGGACGTCACACACGTGTGCCTGCAACGTATCCAGGAACTGGTCCCGTGTACTCCTGACAGCTTCCTCTAGTTGGTCTCCATTCAGTACTTGGAGCAGTATCTCTGCCATAGCTGTCAAGATGGCATTTCTCATTGTATAATTCTGAAAAGAGACAAGTCGTAAGACTAGGAGTTGAGAGAAGATAAGGTCCTGCAATACTTGTGCTAAAAAAAGACAGTCCAGCGCTTACGGCAGGATTTTCAGGCCCCACAATTCCCTGGTGAGACAGACTGCCTATATTGGGGGTTTGCGTAACAATTTATGTTCTCTTTACATCATCTATGAATGCAAAGAGTGTACCAGGGTAGAGATCTGTCCCAGAGTGCCAATTTTTGTTCCTTGATCTTTGTGAAATAGGTTTAGCTTAGAGGTAGAAGATATTAGATGGCAGCATTCTGTTTTTTTGCAGAGAGAAAGCTTAGCTCCTTCCCAACCAGTACCTCTCCATCCAGGTGATGCAGCAGGACACTCATGTTGGACAACACCATGCCTGGGATTTGTTCAGCCAGTTCTGTGAGAAAGACAGCATAGCCCTTCACTCCAGAAGCATCCCGAGCCAGATTCTGTGGACACTTCTGTCCAATCTCTCTGCAGGAAGAGGGGAAAAGATAGAAAGAAGGTGCTCACAGCTGTTGGGAGAGGGAGGGAGTCAGGAAGAGAGATATAGGTAGTAGGGTCTTGGTGATTTTCTCTTACCTCAACAGCTCACCCACTATACTCTTCATGCCATACTCTGTAGCCCAAAGGCTCACAGCTCCTCCAAACAAAGGGGCTACATGTTCAAAGTGCTGTAGCATCTGTGTGATCTTCAGAGTGGCACCTGCCAAGTCAGAGGAGAGGAAAAAGGGTCAGAGGATATAAGTGGGACATTGTTTGAGGAGAAAGCACAAGAGAGAGAGTGAGAAAGAAAACAGAGAACTCACTAAGCATGTGGTCATAACGCATCAGAGTCACAGCAAGCAAATGTATCACTGCCTCCCGTGTAGGCCGATGCTTCTGGTGGTTGATGGTTGGATTCTCCAGGATGCGGTAACAGATGCCAGTCATCAAGCTGAAGAAGATGGAGACAGGATCTGACAATGCAGTCTGTGCCAACCCCATTCAAGAGATCTGAATTGGGGGAGCCTCTCAGGTTCCTGTCATCATTACCGCCCCCAACTGAATTGTTTCTCAGGCTCCAATGTTCCAAATTATTAAAGAAACAAGAACTTTTTTCTCAGACTCCTCAGCACTACAGAATCATTCTCAAAGTCCTTTCTCATTGTTTGTTATGCTCCGCCTCATAAGAAGCTTTACCTTTCAATCCATCCTTCTAAAAGTCAACCCCTGAAAGAATCACACCCTTCATCCATTCAATTACATCTAATGTTCCTCAGGATTCACCTCACCCTTACCTGACAAATTCCTCCTCTACCACCAAACCACTCCACAGTCGACGGAGATCCAGTTGCAGCAGCTCTGTCAGCAGCTGTATGAGTGGCTGCCTCTCTTCCTCCCATGAGAATCCAGAGCGCTTAGCGCAACCCTTCTTGTTCTGAGAATAAGATTATGAGGTATGCACACCAGAAATTTTAAAAAGGACATGGAAACGTTAGAGAGGGTGCAGAGGTAGGCAACAAAAATAAAAAAAGACTTGGAAAGCAAGCCATATAAAAGAAATGTTGAAAGAAATAAACAGATAATAAATAGCTTACAGAAAAGGTGAGTAAGAGTGAGTGTAATAACAGTCTTCAAATATCTGAAGAGTTCCCATAAAGAAGAGGAAGAGGGCTGTATTCTCCTTGATTTCCTGAGTGTATTTTAAGAACCTCTGCAGTGGTGAGACACCAACAGTCCACATCCCCCTGCCATACCTGTAGCAGGTTACAGTACTTTTGGTAATTTTTGAGAGCATGCTGGGCATGTCTACTTATGCATTAATACGCTTTAGTTAATGAGCATTAAATCTAGTACCTCCATTGTGAAGTTCTAGGAAAATGTGCATTAGCCTACCTTAATGCACACTAACTAAAGAGCATGACTTCTAAGTGACACTTAATACACATTAGCCTATTTTAATGCACATTAACTAAATAGCACATTTTTAGCGATGCTTTAATGCACATTAAAATAGGCTAATGTGCGTTAAAGCGCACATGTAGATGCACCCACCTTGTGGTTGTGGGATAGGGTTGATTGTGTAGTTCAATTAATACGTTAAATGAAGACTTATATGGGATGGTTTGGATAGGGATGATCCTGCCTTGAGCAAGGGGTGGGGCTACATGACTTCTGGAGGTCCCTTCCAGCTCTACTTTTCCATGATTCTATAACAAGTGGCACAATACAGCACTAACGTGTTATTCTTTAGTAGCAAAGACAAAGATCAGGCTCTATAGTACTGAGAACCTCTGCCATAACTCTGACATGAGCCGAAGACTACAATCAAATGGATTCAACTGCAACACCTTTCCTCTACTACAGAAGTAATGTCAGGGAGCAAGTGTCAGAAACCAACTAGACAAAAAGCCGCACACAAAACATCTCAGGCTTCAGATACCAGTGGAACATTAATACTAGGATCTGTCACATTCCTTGCAGCTTCTGCCCAAAAAGAACTCCCTGAGGATACGTACGCCATATATCCTGGGCCTCCATGTGACCCAAAAGCCTTGCCAATATCCACCTGGGAACCTTCAGCTATGCCACATATCTAATGTTACAGTTGACTGAATGAACATCAGCATATAAAAATAAAGTTACAGAGTGTCCAGTAACTATATTTAGTTTCCATTTTTATCCTCCCACAGCACATACCCTTCCACCAAGACTCAGCTCCACTGAGTCACGTTTGAAAGACTCTGTTTCAAAAGCCTCCACTAGACGAGTCAGCACGTAGCAGTTCATCTTAAGGGCATTGAGGTGAGCCAAGCGGTCTGAGGAGCTCAGGCCAGGATCATCCAAGATGGAAGGCAGGTCATTATAGTGAGAGGACACTACTACAATGAGATAGGAAGACATGAGAATCATTAGCCCACCTTGCCCGAAATTTCTCATTTCCCACATCTCAAACACAAGCTCACAGCAGCCATCAGATTACCAAAGACCTGTGCTCATCTCTCACCAGCTTTGACCTGGGCCACATCCCATACCCACACCTTGGACACCATCAGTGCACCCTGTCCCCATAACCTTACTCAACTCCTAGTACCTCTTAGCTAGGAGGAGATGGATAACAGGAAATGGAATTTTCTGTTGGTCTGCCCTTACAGCAAACACACACAACTCTGCATTGTCTGCCAAGATTACAAACCCGTCTAAGGAAATGGGTTGAGGATGCAGCCCTGCCAGTGAAGTCACATTTGCCTTATTTCATCATACAGCTGCAAGAGAACACACCCACCATTCACCATACAAGGAGAGAAGGAGCTTTACACCCACCTTTTTTCATCAGATCCAGGGCATCCTCTTTGATAGCAGCATCCACAGTGTGGAAGTGACTGTGAAGTAGACACAACCAATAAGACAATGCAGGATGGTTGCTTGTACCATGGTCAATCAAGCAACAGAACCACAAGCAAGCCCAGACTTCTCCTCTAAATCCTATTTACTAGTCTTACTCCAAACTCATGTTTTCAACCCATTAAACTTGCAGCTAGAAAAACCATGTTGCAAGAAGACTCAAAAGAGGCTTCTAATAGAGTCTGTGCATAAGCTGTGTTCTCCAAATTCTAGTTTAGTGTATTACCCAATTGATTTCTAACAGTTTAGAAAATTCTAAACTGCAGCACTGACATGGTGGCAGTTCCAGCTCAAAGCCTGCAACAGGAGTTAGAGCTACTACTTCATGCCCTATGCTGGAGCCAGAGGTGCCACTGTTGTGTCCCTTGGGCTGAATCTTGGTTCTGCTTCAAACCCCACCTTGGACCCCTCATGCACCTTGTTGTGCATTTTGGACACTGTGTCTCCTGAACGCTGGTCTGGCTTACACTATGGACATGGATATGGCTATGGACTAGGAACCTAATGTGGACTCCTTGTCTATGACCCCTTTGGGTGGCCACTGCTCCATTCTGGGTCCCCTGCTGGCCCGAGTACTTCTTTAGCCCCTTCCTCCTCCAGACTGTTTGCAAATCAATCCTTACAGCAGCTGGCATTTCCATTGGGCAGGGCTCCACCTACACAAAGAAAGTCTTGCAAAAAGGACCCTTTAAAGGCACTATGGACACACCTGCACCTAAGTCAGCATCACTGGCTAAAAACAGAAGCCTGATGCATCCTGGGGCCTGACTGTTCCAGGTTTTGAATGGCACTGAAATGGGCATGCAGACAGTTGCTTTGCCTAAAAAAACAGACTTCAGGTCTCTCCTGGGACAAAGCCAGGATCCTACAGAAAGAGCAAACCTTACTGTTTCCCATTACAGTCCTATGAAATGTTGGAGTTAATGCTTTGCTCTGGGACAGAAGAGGTTGACAGGAGTCAACTGACATTCAAGCTGGTTGTGCGAGTGCTGCACACCCCTCAAATCCACCCCTCCCAGCCCAGTCAGATGCTGGACTCCCCACCAGGCAGTCTCTGATGAAGCGATCAAGACAGCTTGTGCCAGACATACATACCGAGGTCTGCACTGGTCTGTAACAGGGGTGGCCAGAGCAGGGCCCCGTGGCCATGGGGCTGGGTGAGTTTGACCCCCCACCCCGGTGGGGTAAGGTGCAAATCTGCTCTGCCTTCTGCCTGGCTCCAGATGGCAGGGCTAAGCCCGCCCCTCTGCCTGCACCGAGCTGCAGAGGCACAAGCGCCTCTCTGGCTGCAGCGGAAGGGCTGTGCGGGGCCCCGCAGCAGCCGAGTGGGACAATGGCGGCACGCGCGGCTCCTGGCAGCCGGCTCCCGCGGCATCTCTTAGCCTTTTCCCAGCGAGGCAGGGGGAGCCCGGCCGGTAGGGCGCCCCCCGCAACCCGGCACTCACTGCAGCAGGCTGCAGAGGGCGTCGAAGTGCTGCAACACGGCCCGCGGGCCCTGCGCCCCGAAGGCGGCCCCGAAGGCGGCCAGGGCGCCGGACAGCTGCGCGGGCGGCAGCAGACGCGGCGAGGCGGAGG